TGTCATCAGTTTCACCACTCAAACAGGAAACACTGTTGATGCGGTGGCACTTGACATCACAGTGTCAACTTCGTCCAATGTCTTAAGGGCTAGTGGTAGTTTCATCTCTTTTGGTGGTGAGTGGTGAGTGGTGAGTGGTAGTGATTTGTCATTATAAAGGATGGAGGGCGCGTTCAATGCATTGCCGTCATCTCTCTCTCACCGCACCTCATCTCAACATCAGTGCCTAGCACATGCGTACAATTGCTCCACACCCTCGACCGCCATGCTTGTCCCATACGTTTGAGGTCACATTTGAGGGGAGGGTGTTGCAATTCTAGGTCCGAGTTGAAGCGGCAAAGTAGACGGATGTGAGTCGTGACAGATCGTATGAAGAAGGAAAAAGGGTGAGGTGAGAGTAGATTGGGAACAAATTAGATGGCGAGAGAGAAGCGAGGAGGAGGAGGAGGAGGAGAAGGAAGGGGAGGGAATGAGGAAGGTGGTAGAGTGTAGAATAAGGCGTATCGTAATGATAAACTATCGCATTTCCCTTATGTCTTACGATGCACACTTAAAACCTCATTTCCAAGTTCTTTACAAGCTATTAATTCGATCAGCAAATAATTTCCAAACCAGATTTGAAAATTTATCATTTCACTTAAAAACATGTGATTCTTTTTAACTGTCCTTTTTGACGTTTTGGAGATTCCCTCAGCTGATCTTTCGCATTAAGTTGCATAAACAAGCTTGTCAAATTTCCCTTCTTTCATTTTGCCGCTTCAAATTCGACTTTGGGAAACGAAAACGGGTTAAACTGTCACTACATCGCTAGCTTTAAGGCAGCCTCTCGAGGGGTGAAAGAGACGTATTCTCTATTGAGGCACCAGTCAAGAAGGAAACGCAAAATACGTGACTAGCAATGGCAGATAGGCATATATGGGGAAAGCCAAGTGTTCAGCCCCTTGCACCACAGGAAGAAAGGGAGATGGAAAGATGGCACCGGAAATGGGACAACAATTTCCCATAGAAGAGAGATTAAAGCTAGTGCTGACCTTTTTAATCACATAAGCCTTTTGTTATGAAGTCTTCAGGGGATAATTGCGCACTAATAGTCATACTATAACTGCCAGAGAGCTTTGATTGCAGCATCGTTGTGATGACAAATAGTGAATCTCGCCGAACAACAATATAAAATTCTTAGGCCTCCATTAGATCTAGAGGCAGATTTTTCACGAAATTATCTCGAGGTGGTTACAACTGTTTCACACCGATGCCAGCGGATGAGTTTTGATTTGGAGTGCTTATTTCACAAACTGATGCAACGGGAGCCCTTCTCTCTCTCCTCGATGCAACACAATTATGACTAGTCTTTTCACAGTGAGTATTTACTTACCTATGACGCAGTAATGTGAGATGAATCTTCACAAATGGTACTTAACACGAATGCAACCATCAACAAGCGATCTCATTTTCGTTACATCAGATTGTGTTATAAATAATAAGGCCGAACATTATGAACACCAGGACATTCTTTTCTCGTCACATCAGGTGATATTAATGATAAAAGAATTGTTGACATAAGTGTGGGAATCCTCGTCCCCAGACCAGGTTTTTTAGAATGAAATTTCTGCAAAACAGAAAAATAAACCACACTTGAATTCCGCGTAGACAGGAAGAGGAGCTATTCCGTTTTCATCGCCCTAAATGTGCATTGTGGGAGTTTGGAAATTTACACCTCATGATTCCCCTTCGTCTTTTCTGCGACCTGAGGTGTTGAAAACTTTTCAAAGCCGAAAATCAGAAATACACTTTGCGCCCTTGACTAGGAATTAATTCGAAGAGATCCTATGGTTGGCATCCTTCCCGTCACCAGTTTTGCTGACAAACGTTATGAGTAGATACCTTTCAAAAGATATTTCCGCATTTTGGAGTCCCAACCAAGCCATAAACAGAATCTTCAAACTTGATAGCAGTAGTGTCAAATGGAATTTTAGACTCCGAAAATCGGAATCTACAATTGGGTAAGCCACTTCAGCAATTATGTCTCACACAACATACTGGGCCCAGGTACATCCAATGACCCCAAAAAAAGGAGGTATGCGTCAAAACTTACAGATTCATCCGGGTCCGAGTGAAGGAGGCTCGATAAGGTGACGGTAGTTTGAAGATAGACTTGGGATCGAGTTCAAAACACTTGCAACACTTTGCCGCCTCCCTCATCTCTAGACGCTCCACTTTTGCCTAGAGGTTAAACAAAATTTATGATAAGGTCAGCCAAGAAGCCTAAAAAAGCATGCAAAATAAGAATCCTTGCAACCACCACCATCACTACAACCAGAAATGCAAACATTACACACCGAACAAAACAGGTAAAGCGAACAATATCACAGGAGTTGAAGCAACATAAATGAAAAAGCTTTACTGTGATAGCTTTGGACTTAAAATTTGTTTAGGTTGACACATAATACTGAATAAACAGCATGAAAGGATCTGGATGATATTTTAACTGTTTTTGGCCCCGAAGATCAACGTATAACAACTATTATTTGAGTCAAAAGACTTCAGAAAGCCAAAGACGATGAAACACTCCAAAGGCAGTCATAATATGATCTACTTCAAAAGTACTTTAGCATTTTCCATGAAATTGCAAGTATTGCACCAAGTGACACCGATGATGCGATGACAAACCAAGGGAGCAAGGAATACACAGTTATGAGCTCGTAGCTACAGCTGCCAAGTTGTCACGCAAAATCCTTAGCACCAAATCAAAGCAAGACATTTGAATTGAAGAATAGCGCAAGACGCATTCAAAACCAGGAAAATTCAACTGTCAAAATAATTCAAGTCTCGTTTCCTTGTATGTCTTTACAAAAATGAAAGGACGGAATCATTAAACTTACCAACTGAAGAATAGCAGAACGACGATGAAATAAAGATTTAAAAAGCAAAAAATTTAAGCAAGTAATCAAATTTTTTAGGTCCTAAAAGTAGGTAAAAGACAATTTGTCGTTTTTAATAGAACAGGTAAGTTGAAAGCAGAAGTTGTGAAGATTGAGCATCAAATGTCAACATGATCGCATACTCAAGTCATGAACATTGACATCACTTAGGCAAACTCGTCGCCAAGGCCTCAAGGGATTGTAAACGATACGTCTTGTTCTGCACTCTACCACCTTCCTCACTCCCTCCCCTTCCTTCTCCTCCTCCTCCTCCTCCTCGCTTCTCTCTCGCCATCTAATTTGTTCCCAATCTACTCTCACCTCACCCTTTTTCCTTCTTCATACGATCTGTCACGACTCACATCCGTCTACTTTGCCGCTTCAACTCGGACCTAGAGTTGCAACACCCTCCCCTCAAATGTGACCTCAAACGTGTGGGACAAGTATGGCGGTCGAGGGTGTGGAGCAATTGTACGCATGTGCTAGGCACTGATGTTGAGATGAGGTGCGGTGAGAGAGAGATGACGGCAATGCATTGAACGCGCCCTCCATCCTTTATAATGACAAATCACTACCACTCACCACTCACCACCAACAGAGATGGAACTACCACCACCCCTTAAGACAATGGACGAAGTTGACGCTGTGATGTCAAGTGCCACCGCATCAACAGTGTTTCCTGTTTGAGTGGTGAAACTGATGACAGGCGGCCAAACTCTCACTTGAGACGACAAGGTTGTGGTGCGAACGAGCGATGGATTGAATGGCGTCATGCACACCTCACTGCTCCACTTGTTGGCGGACGTCAGGTCACCAATTCGGTGTTCACTTCGTTCATGCACAAACATGACTGCTCGCTGCGTGCGTTTGGTTTGCACTGACCGCAGACTGCTTTGTGATGAGGCATCACTGATGTCCGCTGCTTACTCCGTTGCAGAGGAGGGAGACATCTCACAAGTTGGTCATAAGTTATCCCCAATTCACACCACCCACCTCACACAAATACGCACACACACACATACACGTTATTTGAACGCACACCGAATCATTCCCACAGTATTATGTTTTCAATGTGTGTATGTAAATGTGGATGTGCGTGTAGGTAGTCGAGAACGTGGAAATCACCACTTCAACTGCTCAAGTCCAAAAGGTTAAGACCGATGTCTACTGTCTCAATAATGCTTATGTGGAAAGTGAGGAGAAGGTAATTTTTAATACGAATCAGTTAATCGGACGATGATTTCATTGCTGGGCTTATAAGGCAACGCGAAACAACCCGTTCTACACACTCCATACCTTATGGTGTTCGCAGCCTGGTTTCAATGGAGGACCAAATTATTCTTATACTTTATCTTCACCCCTGTTTCGTTGTCGCTTCTTAGAGCCTTAATTTACGACCTCCTTCCTTCCTTTTTAGTATTTAGCATTGAACAACAGCATGTGCAGTAGAATGGGCAGTTGGACTATAACCACTCGACATAAACGGGAGGCAGATATATATAAACATAAAATAGGAAATTGCAAAAAAAGCCTCCTTGCATAGAAAAACTGATGAAAGGATGAAGTCTTCTAGGAAATGTTAATAATTCATTGAACCATTATCCTTAAAACACACGAGTCCATTGTGCTGCTTCCTGTTTCGATGACGTAACAATGAACACATGAATATTTGTTTAGAGGTAGGAATGAACGACTGCATTTGCATTTTTAAAGGCAACCTCACCAAATAAAATGAAGTTTAATCAAGGAATTCCAAAGCGATTATATGACCTCAAAATGAAAATCCACGATGTAGCTATTCGACAACAAAAACAGTATTAACGCAATTCCAAGTTGTGCAAAACACAAAGCGTTTTATTTTCAAGTAGTGTGGGTTGGAAACTGAAACAGGCGATACGCTGCTGTGCAAACGCATCAAAAGCCAATGTGATAATCTTACGATTTTCAGAACTGGTATACTTAGCATCAGAAAAAGTGCCGCCAATGCTTTGAAGCCACAAATTTTATAATGTCTTTGCAATAGCAAACAAAGAATTTCAGGTCGATGCAAACACACTGCCAAAGAGTACGCTGATGTCAATCGCTAAGGTCGTTAGGGCCAAAATGAACAAAGTCCACTTAAAAAAAGGACAGTCAGTCGAATGCGGAACGATACCCACAGCCCTACATAGAAGAGTCATGTGCAGCCACTTTAGCCCTACGCACCTCTCTTCAACTGCCCTCGAGCCCATAGTATTAGGAAAAATCGTGATAAAAATCCCATATGAGAATGAAGTACCACTAGCACGGATATTTACGGTTTGACAACAGTGAGTGATGGACAGTCAATGGCACGAGAAACCGTCACATCAAGTACTCACATGGGTGTCTGACGGAAATCTTACAATGGTCAATCACAATATGTTTAATTCCGGGGAATACAAAAAAACTAAAAAATAATAACATATGAGAGCTAGAGCAAAGAAGAAATAAAATAAGGAAGATGTAGGAGAATCAACGATTGCAAAGTAAAATGTGATCCACTTTACAACCAATACATTACCTTAAAGTCACACCCGACTTTACCTTATGGTAGCGAAGGTACCGGCTGTGCATGCAACCGCATTAGCACACAATTAAACAACCGACAACGACAGCTGGCATAAATCATGAAACAAGCGATCCCAACTGATCTGGATTTAGTAGCTCCTTCAGATGAAAATATTGGCAACGGTCGATGTAGCATCTGCCATTGATTCATTGATAGATCACTTCGTTGAGTTTGTATGTCTACGTACATTAACTGTCTTCCTTCTACAAATTGTGAATCGGACGCAATGAATCGGATGAGGGGTATGGACGAAGTGGTGGAGCTAATGATTCACGCTTATGGAGGACGAAATGGCCATGGCGCCACCAACCTTATTAATTATCAGCCAAATACAACGCATACGACATAAACGGTGTCAGTTACTTATTTTAAGTGCACACGTGATGGTGCAGACCTTTTGCTTCCCGCATACGTGTTCCTCATGTTAATGGCTTATTGAAGGCATGCCTATATCCAAACTAAACCTTTTTAGCGGAAAAAGTGTTTTGTGATTTAACCTTATCACTCACGAATGAAGTTAGTGGTAAATGACAGTGGAGCTACCTTGAAAGGCCCATGCCGATTTTTTTTATTAAAATGTATTCGTTTGGTAAAGGGATAGAGGACATTGCAAACATGTAGTATATGTCCGCCAGAATTTCGGGAAGTTATGAAAACCAAATCCACACATTGATAGCAGAGCTTAAAATTAGACCAAAGGAAAATGTAAGGGGATACAAATGGTTGAAAACGAATGGAATAACAACTCGTCTACCTTTACAGGACGTTAATTCTAGAGCACCCACTAAATTGAATCGACCACACACAACTGACCGGACCTAAAATAAGAATACCACCTATCCTAGGAGATGGCAGCGCTGAGTATTAGCAAACTGATTGGCTAGACATGAGGCTAAAGAAAAAGGTCGAGCTCATAAACAAGTGAGTTAGACGAGGGTATTTAATGCCTGCGAAATATGTCCCTACGTTATAGACGCACCTGCTTCAGAGGCTTCTTGAATTGCAGAACCTCAGCAACCCGAATCATTGTAGACCAAGAGGCGTGGAGTTTTACAAAAATAAGATCACTGTGAGCCATAATAGCAGTCTCCAGAGGATTTTGATCCTCTTGATCGCCAGGTTGTGTGTAGCCCCGAAGGCCATCGGCGTCACTTGGAGGCTGACTCATTGGATCCATTAAAAAACCTGCCTCATCTTTAAAGCCAGCCTTTTGAGGTCCCGTTCTTGCCAAAATTTCGCCTTGACAATTTTCTACCTACAAGCGGAATTGGAAACCAAGGGTTAATTATTTCATGATAATAAATCCAAGACGACCATACGTGTAAAATGCGTGAAAACTAAGAAAACAAACGAGTCTCAGAGAAGTGCAAATAAATTGCGATTAGTACACAAAGTTACCTCGATTTCAATCATTTGTTCAGCCAATGCAGTGAGAAAAGCGTAGCGCTTGCTTCTAGCGACGATGTCAGTTTCATCAGCCGTGTAGACCAAAACAAAATCGATTCGCCGCTTTCCGTCCCGAAAAAACATCTCTGGCGAATTCTATTTTTGATAAAAAGGGAAAAAAACAAGTGTCAAGATCCACTGAAGTAAACAGAGCAAAACGGCAAACGATCTCAAAAAGGGTGAATAAGTGCTAGTTAACAGAATACACGTCACTCAGATAGATTGTTAACAAGCAAAGAGAGTTGTTGATAAGATATAGGGAATTAAAAGTCCAAATATTTCTCACCGAGTAGTACTCCGAACCGTCAAGATTGAAAAGCAAACCCTCCTCTCCCTTTCCTACACATGCTATCGTGGACTTGCCAACTAAAACCGTAACGATATTTTGTTTGCCTTACGAAGCTCAGCAAGAGACTTCACATTTGTATGGCTACCCATCCTGTTCAAGCGCCCCAAAGCAAGATCCTCGGAGCACAACAACCTTGAAATTAAGAAGGCGCATGACTCAGAATGAATTTATTGCTCAGTTCAACAAACTTTTATCAGGGCCATTATAAACATTAATGATAAGATATATTTTGGAAATTACAGTAAACTCTAAATAAGTTTGGTAAAAGTGACACCATAATATTGTAGGAGGCAAACAAGCCGTACCAATGCTATACAAAAACAATTTTTCGCAGCGAAATTACTGCATGCGCATTACTTAGTGTCCGTCTGTGTTAAATTTGGGTGTGGTTATTCTTACTGAAACAATGCTGTTGCAGCTAGTTTGTTTAGTGGACCGCATCTGCTGGCGGTGTGTTGAAGAATGTTCGGTGTCGCCTCTGTCTCCGGTTGGTCTTATCCGATCTGATAATTTTGGGATGGGACGGCATGGACGTAAGAAAAAAGCGAATCAGTCTACCAAGAATTTGTCGAAAGGTCCTTCGCCTGTTCTCCTTCCAATTTTTAGTTCAAATCTTGCTTACAATCGTCCACTAATGCTGACTTTTCTACTTTTTAGACGATGCTCCCGATAAATCAAGTGGCGCGATTAAAGAAGAAGCTGGATCTGCGGGAGAAATTTCCTCTGATGATGTTGAATCGGTGATCTATCGAAAAATTGAGGAGATTCGCGCTGCTCAGTTAAACTCAAGCTTTTCCGAATCGCGCACTCTCGGTTGCGTTTATCCATTGTGGCCACCCTGTCCCAGTTACCGATGCCATCCCAAAGGCCTTGTAAACACGCGAAACACCTGCTACCTCTTAACCTGTCTTCAAACCCTCTTTGGTCTCCCTCCTTTCGTGGCTATTCTTCATCATATCTCTGTGGCAGTCCACTCTTTATTCGCAGAAGTGGGTAGCCTGCGGGATGTATGGGTAGAATCTCACGCTGAGATGGTACCCCTGATTCGTCTGCTGTGAGTTCTGTTTTTGCCTCTATATTATACCTGAATGTATGATCGCAAATCTTATCTCCTCATTTCAGTACACTGCACTTGGACGAACGAACTCCTTACAAACCTAATGAGGTTCGAACCGGTGAACCAATCTTACCAAATGATTACGGATACCTCCCCACCGGGAAACCACTTAGTCTTGATCCAAAATTCTTCACTGTGCTCAATTTTGAGGTGGGATGTGAACAGGACGCTGCTGTGAGTGGAGATTATATGCAACTCCGTGATTTCCAATAGCTCTTGTTTACGGTTAGGTATATCCGTTATGTTTAAAGCTTAATAACCGCATACATAATTGCGAAATCCTCTTTTTGGTATACGTATCAATAGATTTTCCGACTAACTTTGTAAAACAGTCCATGTTTCAAACCTGAGAGCAAAAATTCTTTTTCTACTCTCTACAATATTTGATGAGTTCTGCAGGAAAATTGTGCATAGGATTCATGATAACCATTTGCTAGTAGTCAATAAAGCATCAAGATGGTTGTAACTTCGTTTTTTTCTCATGGTTGGAAATTTTTTAGCCTAGGACTAGGTTTTATCAGATCACTTTATTAGTTGCAGTAGTAAAGAAGTAAACCGATAAGCTTTGTTGAAATCTTGGCAGGGTGTATTCTGTAGGAATAAGTTTATGCATGACTTGCCAAAATCCAATTGTTTTTTGAGATAATGAAGTAATCCTCCAAGTCAGTAAAGTGCTAGTAGTCTGGAATTATATTTTTAGTTTTTGAGTGCCAAGTAAAGCTGTGACTGAAAGGTGACACTTAACACTGGCTTTGGTGTTTCTTTTGAGCTAATTGCAATTGCGTAGAATGGCGAGCCATAAGAGAAGTGTTTGATTTTCTCGGCCTGAGGGTGATAGCTTTTCAACTTATTGAGCATCCCCTAATTTGGGCATTTAGATAATCAGAATTAGACATATTTTTTTAATCCTGACTAAAAGCGTCGAACGACTCCAAAAAGATTGCAGATTTTGCACCCACAAAGTATAAGGCTGGATGTATGATTTGCTTTCTTGTAGATTTAGATCGTGGATCAGTTATACTTAGAGTTTTAAGTTGTTATCTCTTAATGTGCTCTAAAAATATGGATAATTCTTGGTGTTGATCGAACTGAAGAACGTTTTCAATCCATCATTATCTGCCGTTTGTATTTTGCTAGAGATTGACACGGATTCTGTGTTGCATGAAAACTAGGGAGCAGAATTTAACATAATTTTCGCGCCAAACACCATAGTAGTGGACCCATGGTATGCACCACATTTGTGATGTTTTGTAAACGATTATTCGTACTGGAGTAAACGGCACGTTTCGCTGGCAAATCAATACAATCTTTACCTGACTGCATTGGCCATTTTTCTAGAAGAACCTAGTCTGTCTGTGCTAAGCCCAAAGTATTGTTTTGTTGGCGATTTTACTCTGTATTGTCGGACAAGCTATCATTGCACAGGTGTTTCGGATTTTAAAAGCAGTATTGCGATTTCGGTTGATAATGCATCTTTATTTTCCGTCAGGACTGCATGTCACGTATCGTCACACAAGTGCACGAAGAAATGGCCACGCTTCTGCGCAAATTCAGGAAGCCAGAAGATGAGGATTTTGCGGATGATAATACTGACAGTGATGGCAATGAAGGGTGGACCACAGTTACGAGTAAGGGCAAGAAAATCAGAGAGGCGCGTCATGTAGGTAGTGCTATCGCCACCTTTTTTGCTTAGCCTACGTCCATCAATGAGTTCATTATTTTTTAAGGCTCAGGTTGACAACGGGGAAGTTACTCCGATTTCTCTCCTGTTCGGTGGGACACTAGTTTCACGCTCTTCCTACCAGAAGAACTCTCGTCTGCCAAATAAGTTGGCGATTGATATGAAAGAAAGGTTTTTTGTTCTCCCAATCGAACTCCAAGATTCTCAGGCATGAATATTAGAATTTGCATTAGTGCTTGCAGCATTTATATTGTTTCATTGGACTACTATTGCCCTTGCAGACTTTGTATCGCACGTAATTCCAGTAGTAGGCTATCGCAGCACTGATTATCTTTTTTGACTAGTAGCATATTTTAAGTAAGTGGATCTTTTCGCTGTTTATTCAGCTGATTGTTCTTGATGAATAGGTTCGCCTGGGTAGTACAAAAGTCATGTGACTTTCCATTTTCAGCGCATATTTTATATCAATAGGTTTTATTTGTTCATTTTATCGGCAACAGCTGTGGAAGGGTGTACACGAAGCAATGCTGGAAGCACATCCTTTATTTAATTACTCTCATTTGCATACCCCTTAGTTATAATAAACTGATGAAGTATGGCCTTGACCCTCTCCTAGAGTGGATCCGTTGACACTGCCATCGATGTGACGTCTTAGCCATCTTCGAGAGCGTTATTTTACGACTTGGGAGAGCTGACACCACTGTGAAGGCTGAATTATGGGGCTCATTCATTAAAATCGTTCAGTCGAGATGCCTTTTTGTTTACCGATTGGAGAAAATTCTGGGCTTACATTGCACTAATCTATTTTTAAGGCTACTTAATTCATGTTTTAACTTTCGCTAACACTGTTTCGATCTACAGCACCGCTTCTACTTTTCTCTTTTTGATGGAATCATCTTGAACTTGCTCCTATATGAAAGAGAGCTCTAAATGTAAACCCAGTTATTCTCCTATTTGTAGGTGGAGTGCCTCGAAGATGCCTTCCAATTTCTTTCCAAGGGTGAGGTCATCTCTGACTTCAAGGACCCTAAGACCGGTCTCTGTGTGGTTATGAACCGTCGGGTCTTCATTGATCGCCTCCCTCCTATCCTCTTGATTCAACTAAAACGTTTCTTTTACAACCCTAATAAGGGAGGTATTCAAAAGGTGCTTAAACAGATTCCCATCTACCGTCGTCTCCAAATTAGTGACTGTGAGTAAAGCAACTCAAGTTACTGAGTGGTGAAAAGAAGAAATATGTTAGGCATTTTTTTTCCTGCTGCAGCCATTGTTTCAAAGGAACGAGCCTTCTCCAAGGCTCAGGGTGCATACAAACTGAAAGCTGTGATCTTTCACATCGGCTACAATGCGGAACGAGGTCACTACACAACCGCCACAGTGACTCAGAGCAATGAGGTACTATACTACGACGACCTTAATGTCTTTCGATTGGGACAGAATGAGGCAGTGTGGGCGGACATGTTTACTTCACATCGGCCCTTCGATACACGTAGCGCATGTTGTCGACCTCTACCCCGCATATCTTCCACTGCTGTGGGTGCAGATGCGGCGTCAGAACGCCCACCGAACATTGGAGAACAGCCGCGGACGCCTTACCTCCTAGTTTATGTTTCATGCTTTCAGCAACAGTCGCAGCGACAATAACCAATGTTATACCTACCTCTGGTAACTCCGATTTGCCACTCCAAGAATAGGCATATCTGATGTGAAAATACCTCACAATTGACTAACTACCATGGAAAGGTTGTACGCGCAGAGGATTTCCAATGTTCGGGGCTTTATTACTTTAAATTTAGTTTTACTTTAGTGCGATAGGCAGGGAGTAACCCGGTATTAGATCACTCCACGAGAGTTTGTAAGGAATTTCAAGGGTTTTACAGAGTTCATTTGAAGATCCATTGATAGGTTAGGACGTTTATGTAAACTGGATAGGCGTAAGGGAATTTCCCTGCCTCACTGCCTGGAGGCGAACGCGGCGCCTATAACAGGAGTGTTCAGAAGTCATGCAATTTAAGCATTTCAATGGCTTCAAATAATTGCTTATTTTCGTTCATTTGTTTTGGTGCTGCTTTGATGCGGGTGCCTTCCGCTTGCACAGAGTAATCGCAAAGGACGTTCGCCTTATTATCACTAGAGGCATCTTCTAACGCTGGTTGGCAGTTACTCTACTGCAATACGTGTCATTGATGGTCCCTCTATGTGACTGCTCAAACCTCGTCACCAATAATGGGGATATTTCGTCTGTAGCGTTAAAAATGTCTAAATTGTTCTCTGTTTAAGCTGAGTCTGATTGTGATTTAAGTTTGCATTTTTTCTCGGGTGTCACCAAAGCAATGTTTATTGAGAGAAGCACTTTTCTTTAGCAAAAAGAGTGGTCATACCGTCAAAACCACTGCCATCTGCTAACACCACAAAGGTAGTATAGTTGAAGGGTCAGTCATTAAGTCTCTTCAGTGATCTACATTTTCGGGAGCGATGCAGTTATGCATATTTCTGTGCTTTTAATAGTTGTTACTTACCTTTCACAATAAAATGTTGCTAATTTGTAGGGTTTCATATGATTTGTTAGTTGTTTTTTTTTTCGAGGATTCTAAAAATTTTACGCTAATGCTCTGCATCGTCATCAGTAGTACTCATTTCTTTGTTAGCCTTTTGAATGGCACTTTTGGCATAAATTACCTAAATAAGCATACAACCATCCGTGTTGATTTGCTTCTCGATCTGGATGGTGTCTGAATTGTACAATTAGTTTCTTGAAGCTTAATGCTCTACTTGAGAGTTAGTGAGTAGGATAGGTGAAAGGAGAAGGTAAATGAGATCAGCAACATTCCAAGTAGCTGATGGTATGAATGTAGTGTCCAGTCCTTTTGAGTCCAATCACAACAATTTACTCTAATTGGAGAATTGAGAATTTCGCACGTTAGTTTGCCAGTGACTATCTGGTGGAATATTTCTTTCAGACCTTTTTATCAATGATAATGGTGAGATTCTACGGAATTCATTCACTTCTGCAAGCCCCGAAGGCGAACTGGTAACATTATGCATTTACCACAAAATGAATAGAGTTAGATTACTATCCGTAGCGCGTTTGCTGATACCCCTTGTTGCCACTAGATCTCATCAGATCTCGGTGATTCCAAATCCTCCCATTTTTATGGATCTTCAATACGCAGGCAACTTGATTCAATGCACAAGTTGCATTAGGTATTAAGAATGATTGGATTGGCATTACGGCGAATAGCGTTTTGGAACGATTTTAGCAGTAGTAACACTAAAATGCTTACCAGTTTTTTTTTCTGGAATATTTGGGTTAACGCTTCAAACTTAATCTCGGCACCCTTTTGGATGCTCTTTACAGTGTGTGGTGACTTGAGAGGCGCTGTGTCTAACATTGCTACCAAATTTGTAGGCAGTAAGGTAAACTATGCGGCCTAAAATACTTTTATTGTCAAAATTAAGTGTTTCTATGCGTTGTGCCAAGGCTTAAATTTCATTCCTTTGTTTCTACCTTGACAACAAGAACGTGCTTCAAAGTGGCCACTTTTGAATGTCACAGCAGCAAGGATGAGGACCATTAGAGAGGTCCGACCTGAAATTGGCAATTGAACAATGAATTTATTCCATTCAAAACATCGGCCATTGGTACCAGTTTTACGGGAAATCGTGCAATTTCACGCTGTGAAAAATGTGCAATTTAGGCTCCGAGATGGATTATGGTTCCAATAACACGAAAATCTAATTTTGTAATCTTCTGCGTGAAGATAGTCAAAAGAACAAGTTGAACCAACTATTAAAGGAGTACATTAGACATAATTTTAGTGCTCGCCGTTGCCACTATCACATTGACAGCGCTGCCGGCTAAGCAATCGCGATTAAGTTGCATAATCACTAAAGATTTAAGTAAAAATAGTTTTTGGTTCCCTTGATCGTTGCCCCTTGTGAAAGCCGCACTGTATTTTGAGGTGGTCTTTGGTTCGGATACTGAGTTCGAGGTCAAATTAGTTAGTCATACATACTTGGGCTTCCAGTTAATTGGTGATGGAGCGGCGGCGGTATAAAGTATTGGCCATACAAGTATCCCGGACAACTCAAACTTTCTAAGATTATTACCACCGCAGGTAGTGTTGTTTCACCGTTTTCAGTAGACTCTGCAAAAGAGCGTATTGTAACGGTCTTACCGATAATTTCGTGTAAAGTTATCAAAAGTTCCTTCACATGCGTCAAATTTACGATCGTTTGTATATATTTTTATTTTTTCCTTGTATCCTGATTTGTCTTCCATTGCCAAAAAATAGCTGGTCGAAATGTTCTAAAAGGCGAGGGAATTTAGAATGCTCAAGCAAAGTGCATTTCATCCCATATACTGGTAGTCGCGTGGTCAAGAGGTCATGACACCGAGGAGAAGCAGAACTACGAAGCCTAATTTGACAAACTCTGTAAATTTATTTTAGCTTGATATTTACCAGTTAACACAATCCCTAATTCCACGATTTAAGTATTGTCCACATTTTAGGGACAATGCAAATATTCCAACAATTTAAGCGCACTCCATGAATCGTTTTATATTACAAATTCCACAAATAGTAAGGGATGAATTCGTGTTTCGTTTGCAACATGTTTGGTGTTTTGCCCTCCTATGTCCGCCTTCACACCCTTGAAACGATGAATGTGATTTGATGGTGGACTTTAAACGTGTACAGAGAATGTGCATGTCGTACGCATTTGAAGTTCACATTTCCTTCCGAATCAGTGCGCAGTCAAGCAAGTGCGATAAGTACTGGAATAACATGTAGGCTCCGAATTTTGGATAAAGAAGGGTTTTAAGTATAATTTTTAAGCAAATTTACGATTTTCTACCCAGTAGAGGACTGATGCATGAAGAAATCCCTTAATACAAAATGGTTAGCGGGCAGTGCTAAATTCCTTCGTCTTCACAATTGTATGCTGAAATGTGAGGAGGCAGCAGAGTTGAACAAACTGCTGAAAAAGTGAGCTGGGCCTATCAATAAGACTACTCACTTGTGAGTGTATGCAACAGTGCGTATCCCTTTACACCAATTGACTACAGTCGTAGCGAACATCAACTTCCTACTAGGCATTAAAGACATAAAACTCGAGCAAATGCAGTGATAAAGGGAGCGGGAGCGGTCAAGGTCCTCCACTCACACGGTTAACCAAGCAGAGTATTACACTGTCCACAGCACAGCCTTCATCATCCGATTCTGTGAGGCCCAATGCACCATCACATCGAGATTTTAATTGACGTTTTAACAACGTTTGGAAAACATGGTTCAAAGCCACTTAAGAATCTAATGTAGGAATTTAAGGTTATCAAAAGATCTTTTACGTTCAAATACCGACTTCGCCCCATTTTTGGATAACTCATCTCGTTCATGATCAACTAGTAAATCTCTTTTGTGCTAAGAAGGCAGTAGTTCTGTTTTCTTTTCAATGCAGATATGGCATTTGGGAACAAATATGCTCTCTAAAAGTACAAAATTTTGGCTTGACTACAAGATATGTATTATTTTAGGGTAGAACTTCCACTCCATGCTGATCGTAAACTGCATAGTGGCAACTTTTTAGTTAGTCCTCACAATTACCGTGCCTGAGACGAAAACCTGACCTCCAAGCCATGTTGGTAGCATTTCTACAATGTCCACATTTCCGATTGATTATTTCTACAAATAACGACTTGACGCTTCCATAAATATGATTTCACTAAAATCAGTCATATGAAACTGCAGTTTTGAGAACGTTGAAGTAGTCCTACTGAGGTGTAGCTTTTAACTCTGAAATGGGATACAAGAGACCAAGGAACGCATCACCACGTGGCCACACCAGACGACATCACTGCTTCAACAGTTGATTGTCGTCCATTTAAATGTCCACGCAAACCCGAAGATCCCATTTAGAGTGTCCCTAGCATTAGTGTTTTGGTTGCTTTCTTAACCAACGAAGTAGGCGTCAAATAATTATTTCTGTACGTGAATCAATGACTGCGTTACCTGCTGGACTAACTTGGTAAGGCGGCCTGACCATTCACTTCTACATTCGAATTCCACCCAGAAAACAGTGATGGTGTTCATCCTTAAGAGCGGTCCATGGATCATTTCGCTCACCGGCATTTCTTGGGTGGGAAAAGACTGACCCTATTAACCAAGTGCTAAAAACTGTGGTGCGGATTTAAAATGCACGAACAAATCACATTAGCCCAATTGTTGTAGAGCAGCGTCGTTTTGATAAACTTACAATTCCATTTGCTATGCAAGTCTAAAGTGATTCGTTAACATTTCAAGTTCATGAACAGTGCCGATATTTTGGGAAAAATTGGAGCACAAATAACCTATTTACTATAAATAAACGTCTTTATTGGTTCCCAGCACTGCTGACTATCGACTGAGTAGGTTGTCAATGTCCCAACGGTCTGACTTCGATAAAAGCAATCTTTTGTCTGAAAAACGTTACAAGGCTAAACTGAGCAAACATGGGAATGTGTGTAAATACAGCCTCCTTAATGAGTATCAAGATACTGATTTTTCCGTTATTCCAAACCTCTCCATTCACCTGCTGAAATCTGCTTTGAAGAATGAAAGAAATGAGGTTGCAACAGCCACTCATACTAGACGGTTTTTACCTCTACA